TGTGGTCACTGGGAATCGTCCATGGGGCAGTGTGGACACTGGGAATTGTCCATGGGGCAGTGTGGTCACTGGGAATCGTCCATGGGGCAGTGTGGTCACTGGGAATTGTCCATGGGGCAGTGTGGTCACTGGGAATTGTCCATGGGGCAATGTGGTCACTGGGAATCATCCACCAGGCAGTGTGGCCGTGGGTCTGACCCAGCCCACCCCTTCTGCTGTGTCTCCAGGGTTGGAGGTGTCTCTGCAGGGCTGTTCTGGGGTGAACATCACTCACCACACGAGTGCAAACACACCCCTTAATGTGTCTGGGGGAAAAGCCTCTGCTCGGTGTCTGACCAGGACAAAGTAATTTGAGGCAGATCTGAGGGTTCATCCTTGAAATCCAGGTCTGTTTGTTGTTGAAGAGGGGCAGTAGCTGGGGAGGAGGAAGGAGAGGGGGAGGAGGAAGCCTTGGTGCAAGCACAGGCAGGGCATGGCAGGGGGGTCTGTGTCCACTCAGAGAGCTCTGACTGAGCTGCTCTTGTTCCCCTCGAGCCACTCTGCAGACAAAACATCCCTTTTATTGAATCTGAGTGCTCAGGGCAGGGCTGGCCCTGCCCATCTGCTGCTGGCAGAGCCGTGACCCCGGACAGCTCCACCGAGGCAGAGCAGGAGAGGCAGCAGGTGAGGAGATGGATGGAGTGAGGGCATCAGCAGAGAACAGTCCAAACTTCAATTAAATCACAGCTTTCAGGATCACAGCTTCATCCCTGTGTCTCCCTCTGCTGCTCTGCCCACATTGTCAGCCCCAGGTGAGGAGTAATCTGCTCTTTCCTGCCCAGCATCATCTTGGCGATGAAATCGGGGACTGGAGCAGGTCTCCTGCATCCCCCTTGGCTGCTTTCCCCCACAAAATCCACATCCACACCCATGGCAGGTCCCACCTCAGTGCTGCCTGACCCCTTGAATACAGGTAATCCTGCAGGTGAGGTGGCTGCACCCCCAGAGAAGGAAGGATCACCTGTGTTTTGGGTGAATATATGTATATATATATATATATATATATGTTGGGTGGGCAGTGACCCCCCTGGAGGGGCAGAGCTCAGCCCCCCGTGCTGGGCTGTGCAGCCCCGCTGTGGGGGCAGGCACTGGCACCTCACAAACACAAGCCAATGCTCAGTTCTGGCTGAGTGGGTAATTAGGTTGAGTTATGTGGATGAGTTACGATAATTAGGTTGTTCTTGCCCACGTTGCTCTTTTTTTGAAAACTCCGTGGTTTGCTCTTCCCTCAGCATCAGGCACTGCTAAAAGCCTGTGATCATCTCATCTCCTGAAAGCTGCCCACAGCCTAAATAACAGAATATTCCCTTCGTGGAGCTTCTCTTTCAGGTGTTGGGCATTGTTTAATGCATCATTTTTAAATAAAAGGATGAGTAAACCGTTTTTTTCCTGTCAGATAAATCTGCAGCTTGGTTCTTGGATCATTTCTTCTTCTCCTTGATAAACCAGCTAAATGAACCATTTCTGTCATTTGGTTCCCCTCCTTTGCCTGTTGGTCACCAAGAACCCTGTGGCACCACAGTGAGGGGCAGCTGAAGTGCTGGCTCAGACTTTCCATGACACTGTGAGGTCCTTGCACCAAGGAACCCGGGATCTAATGCTCAGGAGACTCAAACTTTGCTGTTCTTTCACAGTTTCTTCCAAATGGTGGTGATGGGAAGCACAGTAGCTGCCAACCTGGCTCTGGGGGCTTGTTTGAGCACCCCCTTCTCTCCCCCCAAACAAGGACAGTGTAGGTGAGCTCTGAATGCTCCTGTCAGCAAATCCCACTCCAGCAGGGAGGTGGATGATCCCTATGGATCCCTTCCAGCTGGAGATCCTCTTTGGTTCCTGACCTGCAGTTCCAGCGTGGCTCACTCCCTGGATTAATGGCCAGTTCACAGGGAAACCAAAATTACAGTGAAACAGAGGTTCCCCTGGTCCTGTGTGATGGGAAGGATTCTGAGTAGATTTTACGACCATCACATGGATTTTCTGGCTGAGGGAAAATGGGCCCTTGCACTTGGATGATCTGAGAGCTGTTGAGGCCTCAGCAGAAGTTGAGTTGTTGGTTTTGGGTTTGGTTTTTTTCAGTAATTTTGATTTACACTGTTGGCTCCCAGCAGGTCTTTGCACTCTGTAAGTAGAAAGCCCTGGTAAGAGTGGAGTAGCAAAGGGATATTCCCTGGAGCTCAGAGCTGCTGAGCAGGCAGGAGCTCAACCTGTGGGCTTTTAAAGCATGGAATTACAGCCATAAATCTTGGCAGACACGAGTCATTCAGACCTGCCTGGGGAGATGGAGAGCAGACACAGCAGTGCTGACTAGGAAATGAAGGGGTTGGGTTGGGTTTGTTTCTTCTGAGGGCAGAGGTTTTAAAAACCACACACGACTTTCCCAGGGAGGGCAGGTCCCTCCCCTCGGGACAAACAGCAACGTGCAGGTGTGGGGATGGATTCTGTGCCCGGGTTTACGAGGAGGATGGAATTTGCCATCACAATCCCACACCCCCCACACTGTTCCAGGGTGGTGACAGTGAGAATCTGGTGCTGATAAAAGGCTGGGCAGGAATGAGAGCAGGGAGTGCAGTCAGTGCAGCCCTGGCACAGCTGCCCAGGGCAGGGGGGTCCCATCCCTGCAGGGATTTAAAAGCCCTGGGGACGTGGCCCCTGGGGACGTGGGTCAGGGGAGGCCTGGGCAGTGCTGGCAGAAAGGTGGGACTGGATTTTTCCAACGTGATTCCATGTGTTCCAGAGGAGTTCACTCACTCAAAAAGTGCAGGCTGGTATGTGAAGCACACAATGGTGTTACCTCACCCCACGCCCTGCCACAGGCAGGGACACCTTCCCCTGTCCCAGGTTGCTCCAAGCCCTGTCCAGCCTGGCCTGGGACACTTCCAGGGACAGGGCAGTGATGGTCAACTTTCCATGTTTCCAGAGGCAATGACCATGTTTACATTTAATGCCTGTTCAAATTTAATGCCTGTGAATATTGTTCCTTTCCATGGATGGTGTTTCCTGGCCTTCGTGGTGCCAAGGGGTGCCAAGGGCAGTGTGGGCAGTCTGGGGGTCCCACCTAACATGGCATGAGATGGGGGTCTGGGTTCAGGTTTGTTTAACATGGAATTATTGCAGCTGAGTGCACTGAGAGGCTTCATTTAACCCCAGAGTCACTGCAAGGGGATGGATTGGGAAGGGGGAGAGCTGGGACCTCTGGAGAGCACGAGGAGTCAGGATCAGCTGTGGGAACACCTCCCTGGGGAGATGTTTCTGTGGAGCTGTTTCTGAGCACTGATGAAGCTCTGAGAGCTGAGCCAGGGGATGCAGAACGTGCCTGTTGTCAGCATGGGGGGGTGTCCAGCAGGGCTCTGGGTCCCAAACTGAGCTGGTGGTCATTCCAGACTGTCCTGGACGGGGTCACTCCAGCTGCTCTTCACTGACTGACACGTGGCAGGGTCAGTGTTTCACCAGGGGACTTCCTGAGAAAAGGAGTGACTGGGTTTGTTCCCAGGAAGATCCTTTGGGTGCTGTAGGCACTGGCAGGTGTGGGGGCTTGTTTTCTAAACCAGACCTAAAAAATATGGCAAATCCTGTTCCTGGATAGTGAGGATGAGGCAGCAGGAGCAGCCCCACCCTGGGCTCAGGCCGGGTCACCACCAGCCCCCCTGGCTGTGTCCCAGGGACAGCCTGGGAATTCTGGGGCTGGCTGCAGACCCTGCCACAGCCCC